AAATTAGGTGAAATATATAATAATAAGAAAATAATAAAATTTTTCATGAAGTACACTTGCAAGCAGCATGCAAGTAGCTCATGCGTAATTTAATTCAATAGCTTAACATGAGCTGCAAGTTTGCCAAGTGATTTACAACTAATAATGGTGCGAATAGTAGTTGGGCAGGGTTCAAAGGGCAATAAAAATCTGTTATTTTCTCTGCCCTAACTTTATACAAGGTTGGTCAATTTAACTGACCTCGTAACCATCAAAAAATAAATCTAAATTACCCTTTTTTTCTTTCTAGAATGACTTCGGATTGTAATATGAAACTACATATGTTTAATTTAAATAGCTTTGAGCTCCTAACAGTATACGTCTATTTATACTTAAGTTTTATTGTAAGATATAAAGTTTTACTAAAAAACATTTGAAATTTATTTAGAAGGTTTTAGAGATTAAGGAAATAAAATTTCAGATTTTTCAAACAAAGAAAAGTATTTTTAATCTTAATGGACCTTTTCAGAAAAAAATGAAATTTTTCAGTCATATTCACATAAATTGATATATTTATAATTTAATTAATATCTAGTAGATCTTCCTTTCGCTTCGTGGAGTTCGTTGATCGTGAGAATCATCTCGTCACTTTTAGATTGTGAGATTTTTGCCCACTCTTGCTTAAAAACTTGGAGTAGATCGCTCTTCGAAGTTGGTTTTCTTTGGTTGTTTCTTGACTTGCCGGTCGAGTATGGCCCAGAGGTTTTCGATGGGGTTCATGTCAGGAGATTGGCTCGGCCAGGGCAACTTCTGGATACCATTTTCTTCCTGCCACTTTTGGGTGTTTCTACCAGTGTGACACGGTGCTCCATCATCCCGGAACAATGTTGTGTTCTTGTTCACGAAATGCGAGGAATAAATCAGCTGACCTTTTAACCATTCTTTACTCATGATAGTTTTCATACTATATACTATAACAGTATATGTATCTTCACAAAATTTGGCAGGCTTTTAGTAAACATTACAAGTCTTTTGTCTGTGAGAGTATATAGTATTTATATGTACTAGTTATAAATAACTTTGAAAGAAACTTTATTTGAGGGATTTGCTCAGCAAGAACATCTCTAAACTCCAACATCTTGATGTGTCATTAAATTATATGAACTTTTATTATGACTTAATGATGATTGATAATATTCAGTCGTGTTGTTTCAGATAAATATACATTATTTATATTTCTAGCTACAGGAGAAGCTGATTTCTTAGAAGAAAGATCTTTACATACCTTTTTGAAGTTTGGTGTAGCAAAGGAAGAACAAGAAGAGAACTATGATGGAGAAACAGAGGAGGCTGAGGTAATTTGCAAATTAAAATATTTTATGTTTTTCTTATTAAACTGAATATGTAGTTGTAATGCTGTCTTGAACATTTTGATGCATGATCATTGATGAGATGTTTGAAGTGATAATGTGAAGAAAGTTACTTCAAGTTTGCTAATGTAATATCAGTGGAAATCCACTACGTGTTCATCATTTACGTAGTATGATGTAAATTGTGGTAGTCCGTGGGTCTTTATTTACAGTTTATTTTATACTTGTTAGTTAAGATAATTAAAAAGCACCTGTATAACTTGAACAATGATGTTTGAGTTGGTTCTGATGATTTAAAAAATGTGATGTAGATGTTTATGGTGATTATTAAATGTAATGTCATAATCATTTGATATTTCTGGGTTTCCACATATTTACAGGGTGTGATAAAGAAAGGCACCATTAATTAAAGCAATTAGATAACACTTGTGTTACAGCCATCTATAGTCAGCTGAATGTTTTACATAACACTGACTTAGCATAATGAACACTCATATTTAAAGACAGTATTGAGGAAATTAAATTCTATGTAAAATGTCATGATGTTAATTACACTATGATTATTATGGTTTTTTACATTATTTTTATAGGCAACCAGTGCTGAATGGTCATAACTTTGGATTCATAATAATACAATATATTCTAGGTACAAATGTTACCACTCACATACACACAACTCCTTAACCTTTATGGAACAGAATCCCCTTTAAATGCTTTTCTGCACAAGGTACTGTGTTGTATTAAAAATGTAATAAAACACATTTAATATCAATTTATGTGAATGTAGTTTTAAGTCCTTTATTTCAAATTATACCTTTAAAAAACTACTTAAAACTTCAGATATATTGTTCATGTGACTAACGAGCTATGAAAATTCTCTATTTTGGCTCTCTGTATCTTCAGTAATACAATAGTAGTTGAGTAGAGGTACGTCTAGACAATAAGATGATTACATGACCTTTTGACTCGTTCATTTCAAAGTTCTCTGAATGAATACAGTTCAAACAAGTAATAAGTTTTTTAACCTCTGACAGGTGCCATCCATGCCCACCTTCAACAGATTTGTTTTAGCTTTATAGCCTACATGTAGATGTTACATATCCATGTGTTATAGTCATTAGAAACAGATAATTTTTCACTCTAACCAAACAGTGGTTATTTTGAAATTGGCACACAGTTGTCATTATGGATTACATGAAATTGACTGTGGTATTGTTGTCTGCTTGATGAACTATAAGCACTGACAGTTATTTCTTGACAAAAATATATTGTAGTTACAGATACAGTTTAAATTGTATTTAGGTCTTACTATCATATTTTAGTTAGTTATGTATTAGTTGTTTTAAAATGCATAATTAAAATGTTTAAACATTTGAAAAATATACATCATACTTTGCATCCGTTCTCAAGGATGTGCTGAACGAAAATTTTGCCCACGTCTCCCAAAGAAATCGTAATATGCCTCAAGGGCACTGTTGACTTGTGTAGAGATGAACAATAAGTGGTAAAGGACTAGAAAGGAAAATAAAAACATTAAAAATTAACTATATGTGAAAAGGAAATGACCTTAATCTATGAATTTAACAAAAGGAAAATCTTTAAAGATATTCTACAAAATATTAAAAGGTATGTGTTTTTTTTATTTCCTAATTTGAATTATTTCATTGCATTGTATGTTGATGATAATAGCTAGGGTTAATGATGTAGTAGAGAAGATGAAAAATAAAATATTAACTTTACCTTACAAAATTTTTATAACCTTTTAGGGGTTCTACAGATTATGCAAATGAAATATGAAAACTTTAAAATGAAGAAAATTATTTGTATACTTAAAATTAAAATCACTTTGCTTTGAACTATTTTAACAGTTTAATGGCAAATAACTACTATAGAAAAATAACATTTTTATTAGAAAGACATAATTAAAATAATGTCATTTTTTGTGTACAAAATACTTAGAAACTATAACAAAATCTTACAAGATTTGGTGAGAAATGCTCAGAGTTGTCTTATGATTTTTGTATGTATGTTCTTCCCCAGCCAAAGTGAGACAAAATGTATCAGCCCATGCTGAAAGGGACATAATTATGGATTCATAATAATGCAGATGAGCTTCTACATGTACAAGGTCAAATACTAAACATTTGACACATTTCACATTTCAACTGCAAACATTCCAAGAAAAAGCTTATTATATCATTCTTCACTTCTGATAAAAGCCATGCCCACTTAGCCTTTTCTACAATTGAATGGCATGCTTATAACCAATAGAATAAGCAGATTTTCTAGTATATTTCCCATACATTAGCTATAATGTCACAAAATGTAACCATTGACTTTGAAGGCAAGCAATCATTAAGTAAATTCTTGGAGATTATTATCCCTAGCACTTGGTTATTTTTTCTTGCCTTATACATATTTGTTTGATTGACAGTTAAATTGCATTTAGGTCTTACTTTTATATATATTAGATAATTATGTATCATTTGTATTTTAGAATTCATATTTGAAAGGTTTAATGATTTTGTAGATATATTTTAAGCTTCTTGTCACTCCACACGTGTTACCTAACTAAGCTAGTGCAAAACATTTTGCCAGGAGCTAAACCATCTCTGTCAATGATAACGTTTTATTTCCTGTGGCCACCCATTGAAGTGTGTCAACAGGAATAAAAGATAAAGATTTGGAAAGGCAAATAAAACATTAAAATTAAACTATAAGTGAAAAGGTAAAGACATGAAATTATGTATATACACCAAGAAAGATGTTATAAGATTCAACAAAGAGGTAAAATGTATGTATATATATTTATATTTCATAATTTTAAATGTTTCATTGCACTGTATGTAGAGTTAGTTATATGGTAGAGAAAATGGAAATTCAAATATAAACATTTCCTTAAAAAACTTTTGATATCCATCAAGAATGTTCTAGAGTGAAATGTGAAAACAGTATAATAAAAAAAAACTATTTTTATACTTAACATGAAAATCACCTTGCAGGTGAACTATTCAGAGTCCCAGTGCAAATAACTACATTAAATAACAAATTTTTATAAGAAATAATGGAAAAATTCAAAATTAAATATTTTATTTTTCTGAAACTACATACTTTTAGGAAAGTTTTATCGTATTTCAAATAATTTCATCCACTAGTTTTATTGTTGTAATGAAATATGACGAGAGCAATGTCACTTACAATATAAGTAGTTGGTAGTCATTAAACACTTTGAATATTGGACATATGCCTACTATTCTAATGTAGATGTCAAAATTAAAGTTTAGTTTGTCACCTGAAAGTACATAGCTCAGTTAGATCAGAGACATATTACACAGACAAGAGATTCATAGCCTATTCTATTTATATGTTTCTGCTATTGAATAAACTTTTTATTTCACCATTGGTGTGGTTGTGGGCACGACTACCGTATAATATATGGGTAAACATACTTGAACTTTGTAGCTCTTTTTCATCATCAAGGCCTACAAAGTGTTTATAGTGATACTTCCCAGTTGAATTTGTATACTCTGTGCTCTCTGAGACTTGGAGGCATTTAAAGGTTTCTGAAAACAGTCTGGATAATCAGTAAAATAATGACACTTCATGATGGATTTCACCAGCTCTAGGTTAACAGTGGCTTCATGCTTGGACCTGTAACTGAAGTAACGATGTGATGAGTGACACTAGCACTTAAATCCTATACTTGATGATGCATCAGAAAATTATGTGCACTCATTTGCTTTCTGTACGTCACAAAGTGTTACTGAGTTATATTCAAAATTTAATCAAACCACTTTACTATCAATGTATTTTAATGAAATTAGTATTATCAAGTACATTGTGATTCAAAGTCTTATATTATTTAAGTTTTTATTCCTTTATTTAAAAAAAAACTGCTAACACAATAATTAAAAGCTTCATCTTTGCCCTCACTTGAAGTGCAAATGCCTGTATTAACTGAACTTTAGACTTTGTTATAAAAGAAACGACTAAGGTTAAAAATGTCTTTCTAGCAGGCAATAAACTGCATGTACATACAATTGGTTTACCAATAACTTGATATAAATTCCTAGAACTGGTCTAGAGGGAAATCATTATAAAAATTCCTGAGTTCAAGCTTCTAATCAACAGAAAGAGCAGATTTTGCCCTTCAAGGTTATTTATCTTTACACCACATGTATGGTATTGTTACGATAGCAGAAGTCACGTGACGCTGGGAGCATGCATGCTGGAGTTTCTGGAAGTGTAATGAACTATTGGGGAGGCCCGAGTTTGTTTTAGGCACTCTCTTTTTTAGTATGTAAGGCTGGCGAGAAAAATCCAGCGCAGTAGCATAGATGATAGGTATAGAGATAGATAATTGAGTCAAGCGAACAGTAGGCACTGTAAGTAAAGTATGTAAATCACTGTGATTTATAGCGTGTGTTATAAAGGTTGTTATGTAAAGAGATGAGAAACATATTGATTGTGAAATTACTGTGTATTACAAAGTTGTATCGAGAAAGAATAAACTAGTTTTAATCAAGAAGGGACTTGTATCGCTGAAGTTCCTCGGAAAGAATTTATACCGGAAATTAACAAACAAGCAGAGATGTAACAGAGATGATTTGTGTTCAGTGCCATTATAATAAGGCTTAGTTCATAGTTGAGATTAATGTCCATAGTGCTTCGCAATTTTTGCTAGCCTTATATGTATTAGTTTTATAGACAGATTGCATTTAGTGTTTACTTTTATATTTAGTTAATTTGAGACACGATTAAAAAAATATTATGCTGGAGGGGCTAAATATAACAGCTGAAGTTTGAATACCTTATATGTGTTTGAAAACTTCAATGATAGTACTGGTTATTTCATTGACATTTGATTCTAGAACAAACTTGTTAGAGTGAAGACAGAGCAGCCTGGTGATCTACCACAAGATGAGTTCAGTGATAATGATCTGGATGGTTCAAAGTACTGTGTTACAAATTTGAAGAAAGAAAAGGAATTTCAAAGTTTGGAACAAACTGGTTCTGAGTTAGGAAGTACATCTGGTAAGTAAAAATATCCTGCAATGAACTATAAAATTGTCATTACTAGTTTAAAACAGATAGCTTTTCATTTATTTAAAATCTTAGTAATGGTTTAAAATATCTATTGAACTTCCACTGCTGATACAGAATCAATATAGGTACACTTCCTTTGATCTATTTCTGATATTATTGTGAAAGTGTTCATAATAAGACTGTCTACTACATATTTTGAGAAATATTTTATCTGACTTGTTGGATTAGGATTATATTGGTTGGGAAAAAAAAACAAGCATGAAAGGGCCTATACTACTGAGAAACAACATACACTGAGTGGTCACAAGTAAATAGACACCCCTCACACGGAGAGGTCTCTGTAGAAATAAGTGTTGCTCAGTGAGTTTTCTCAAACCATGTCAAAAATTGTAGAGAGAAAAATGTAAGGATCACCAAAGAGTACAGCAAGGTAAAGATATCCATACATACATAAAGAAAAGATACAAAAAGGAGAAAAGCTGTGATGGATGCACTCAGTGAGAGGAAAAGAAGGATTGAGACAAACATCAATATTCTTATGTTATCTGCCAACAATTTCCAGGAAAAAGCTGAGAAAACAGGGCAGATAACATTCGTTGTGAACATATTGAGGAGATTTGTAAAAGAGAAGCAGCTAGAGCTGAAGGCTGTCGAGCAAAAGCTGAACAGCAAACTGCTTCATATGAAAAATCGAAGAAGTAACCAACATTTGTTGAAACCCAACCACATTATAAGACATGATCACATGCTCAATAATGGAGAAGATGAGAGAAACTGATAAAATAGTGAGTGTGTGTTTCTGGTCACTGCAATTATTTATTTAGTGTTATTTGTGTTAAAGATCAGTTGTTTTTGTTCTATTTAGGAAATATGTACATTTCTGCTTAAACTCGTTTCTACCTAAGTCATCCATATTAAGGTTTAGTTTTAGACATTCCTTCCAAACTTTCGTGTATTGTTTCACACGAACTTCCCAAGGAAATTTTATTTGTATTTGTACACAAAATCTTACCGTTCATTGTAAAATTTGTCCGCTTCAGTATTTCTTGTCTTTATACATTTGTTAGAAATCGAAAATTTAACTCCGCTAGAAATAAAGGTTAAAATTGTGGGTGCTTGGTAACTGTAATTTTTAAGTATACTAAACAGTTAACAAAATTGTTTATTGTTTTGAAAATTTGTTTTATATACTTGTGACTTTTTAGTCTGGCATAGTTTTTTCTTTGTTTCATTCCAGTTTTTAGGTAGTAGTAGTACTACTCGTAATATGGAAACATTGAACCAGGGACTTGTAGAATACAAAGCATAACATGTTCAGGCTGTTGTGAATGTGCATAGTGTAATTAGGAGACTGACATTTGGCCAGGCATATATACATAGCCTGAAAGAGCTCTTTTCATGATTTTTTATCTGGGATAATCTTTGCAATAAAGTGTTTCCAAGTTTTAAATTGAGTGAATAAAAATATTAGTTGTACTGATGAGTTAAATTCAATTTCTGTTTTTATGATCATTGTAATGTAATAGAGAATAACAAAACTGATCTTTTGTTTAATAGATGTACACAAATATTTAGATCTATGTAAAGAACTATGTAGCATGTGATGTGTAAAGTGATTAAAATAGAACTTGTACAATAAAAAATTTTCTTTCATACACTTGACGAAAAATAAATACAATAAACATCATTATGGGCTGCTAGGGTGGTATTTTGGATGGAAAGGGTTTCATACAAGTATGAGTTAAGATCTAAATGTATTTTCTCTTGGAAAAAGAAAAGAGTTAGAGGGGATCTGATTGTAATGTTTTGAATTTTTTAAGGGTATTAATATTTGTGATACATCTTTTTTGTTTTTAATAGTAAGACTAGGGGAAACAAATACATATTTTGTCAAATGTGATTGACACAAGTAATATAAGGGAAGACTTGATGAATAATTGAGTGATATGGGTTGGCTTTGAGTGTTTTATTTTAAAGATTAGTTTACTGGATGAGACTGCTTGGATGGAACAACAGGTCCCTTGTTGTCTTTAAATAATATATATATATATGCATGGAATTTATTTCATTTACTATGAAATAATCTGTAAAAAAGTAGATAAGGTAACACAGTACATGTTTTCATATTAAATTGATAGGGTGGAAAAATTAATTTATCTGAAAACAAATAAGCAAATTTTTTAACACATCAGATTTATTAGCCTTGTATTGTTAGGATCGGTTAGGTAAAAACCACAATTGTGGTGTTATAGAAACATGATATCTTGATGCTGAACAACTGGAAACATGGTACTATGAAAACTTGATGTTTAATTGTTTTGACAATGAGCAACTTGAAAATGTGGTACAGCAAAGGTTTTATCAGTTACATAGGCTGAGTACATTATATTAAAATAATTTTGAAGCATCCCTGGTATTTATTTTGTGCTCAGTCGGTCTTGGGCAGTTGTTAAGTTTTGGTTTCTTATTTACTTATTTGGTATATTGTTTTGTGGGCACCTATGTTCTTCCTTTTTCTTTTTTTAGTTTTGCAGTATTTTGAGTATCTCTGTTAAAATTAATGAAATGTGGAGTTGTAGGAACCACAATTTTCTAAGGTATTATATAGTTGATAACCTTTAATGTTTATTTCTTTTGATAAACATATTACATCACTTGAGTCAAACATATCTTCATATGAACCACAAAACAATTCTGATGTATTACAGAATGTGACAGAGCTTATATTATTGTGTATAATGTTTAATATCTATATATATATTTGGATCTGGTATAACAAAAATATGTATACTATTTGACATAGGTTTTTTTTCATTGAAAGTCAAAAAGCAAGGTCACAACAAATAATTAGAAGTTGGCACTGGCAGAAAATTTGGAACTGGATACTTGCTGGGAAAAATACTTGGGTCCTGTATGGGTAATAAAAACAAAACAATTACATTAAATTTTTCATAAATAGTAATCTTTTCGGTTCATTCTATACATTAAGTGCTGTATATAGTAAACATATATTTCTTATCTTTTCATGTCTATGGACATGTGTGTCCCCCTTTTTGTAGCAAAATGACTAACTGCTGGCTTCTATAAATGATGTGTATTTTTTCTGTTAAACAATGTTTCTTTGAACATGTTTCTTCATAAGCAAACAAAATTTGGTTTTATATGTTTAAGTGAAGATTATTTGTTGAAGTTTGTACATAATAGTATATTTATTGGAATTAATGAAAGATTAAAATTATCAGTAATGTGAAGTTAAAATGGTATAAAGATATTTAACCTAATATATCAGTAGTTCTAATAGTCTCATACTTCATTGTCATTTTCTATTTGAGGTATGTAAAACCCTACAGAAGTAATGATGTAGATGCATAAGAGGTATTAAAATCTTGCAAAAATTGTCTTGGTCATATTTTAAAATTAGTTCGAAAGTGTCAGATAAAGATAAATGTAACAGTTTTATTATAAAGCTAAAAAATTAAAGTTGTCAGGATAATGTGAATTTGTATTTGTTGATGACTGTAATAAAGTGTAAACAAAATGGAGCTTATGAATAGATATGAAAGTTATCAAGACAATATGAATTTTTAGATTTGAATTTTTTTAAAACTATGTAATAATTTTTAGTATAATGCAAGTTCTAATTCTTACTTATTTTTCTTTAGTCTAACTACAAGCTTTAATAAGAATATAAACGTGAAGCTCTGAGGTAACCATGGAAGTATTAGAGGTGAAGATTGAACCCTTTTCTGATGAGGAGCAGGATGTTTTGTGGGATATCAAAATGATGAAAAATGAAGAAATGTTTACATTACCTAAATGTAAGTATATACAGTATTGAAAATATATTTTAAAAGACCCAAAAACTGGAGCACTTTTGAATAGTTGATTATTTTACTCCCGAACAAGAATAGTCAACTATTCAAAAGTGCTAAAGTTTCTAGATCTTTTTAATATTGAAACTGATGGGTATCAGCACCAGTGAAAGTTTTCAGATCAGCAGCTCTTGTCTCTGTTAGATCAACAGTTGAAAAGACTTTGGGATCTATATATTTTAAGCAGTTGAATGACAGAACAGGTCTATTTGAGGGTTATTCAGCCATAACAGCCAGTATTGTTGATAATATTAGACTCGTAACCAGAATATGTATAGTTCAATAAAAACTGTTGCAATCCTTGTTCTGGTGAGCAATGTTAGTTGTTTTCAGGAGATTCCACATGAGACTATTTATGTGTAGTGTTGCTTCATATTTACACAGAATGTTATATCTATGGGTATAGTAAGGCTGTAGATATCCTCAAGGCATGTTCTTAAACCATAAAAGAAATAATCCAGTTTTTGCTGTAATTGTCATTAGTGGGTTTTCTGACACTTAGATGATGATAGAGAAGTGGCTACAGGTGTTGGTATTCTGTTATAAGAGTAACTGTACTTGACCTTCTTCAGTGATTTTTCATTAATACGACAGTACATGAAGAGAAAACTTAGGTATTAAAATGGTTAATAGTTGATACCATCACCTATGTCTTTTTATGAATCAGTTATGATTTTATTTGTATCCTATGTTTCATTTGCTAATCTGTCCTTACCCTCACAGAAATCTGCAGAAGGAGTATTTCTATGATGGTAGTAGCCACAATTTGATTTTGGGTCTTCTTGGTAGAGAGGCGTTGTACTGTCTACTCATCTACGGGTGTCTTCTTTTAGCTCTTTAATCAATAACCCTACTGATATGGGTAGCTAGGGGTCAGAGAGCATGTCATCACATTTGTAGACTTACATTCAAAATGTTATTGAACTACTATTTTTATGAATGTACGTCTACATACTTGGTATCAAATTGTATATTTTAATTCAAATTTTAGTATTATACATTAGTTAATTTCTTATTTTCAAAGTAAATATAAAATAAAAGCTAAATATAGATTTTGTGTGTCACACTGGTACGACATCTGGGTTTGGTCAGATTTAACATTATAGTTTCATATGAATTATGAACTCAACTTTCTGACATTGTCAAGCTCGAATATAAAATAAAAACCTCCTACCTTTTCTACTTGCTGAGACATCATAATGTTATCGAATCCACCATACTGACTCCTCCCACCACATCATCAAATGTTTATCAATGCAACAAGGGTTGGCAGAAGGTATGGGAGATGGTGAAGAAGGCATTTCTGCGTCTTAAGTTTTAGCAATTTATAATTTTGTAAGTTAATGAACATAAATAAAAGTAAATACCTACAAAAAAAAAGGGTACAGAAATGAACAGTTAAATATATTATTACTATTAGTATTACTAGCAATAGTCACTACTAGTAGATAGGCCTACTAGTACTAACTCTTGCTCTTTAGAGACTCGGTAAGAATGACTAAAGTTAACACGTTAGTTTTTTTGTGAATTGTCTTCTGAACATGCTAGTATATACAATTAAATAACAAGTTTTAATTTTAATGTAATAAATAACCGAATGTTAAAATATATTTATAATGAATGAAAATGCAACTTGGCAAACTTACTTAACATGCATAATGTTAGTGCTCCTATAAATATGCCCCCAGTAGCAGAACGGAAAATCTGCCCAATGTGTAGTTTTGTGTATAATTCCAAACAAACAAACCTATAAATATAATTGTTCAGTTAAGCTTTGCAATAATAAACTTAGTAAATAATATAAAATTAAGCTGTTTATATAACATAGAATAATAATTAAATACTTCCGAAATATATTTGTTGTAAACAAGAAAGTTAAATGAATAAAAATTTACAACATTTACTGAAAATTAGAATAGGGCAGAAATGGCATCTATAACTGTCAAAATTCAATCATACGGATGGAATTTCAAGAAGGGGGGGATTTGGTAACACATTAATAACGGCTGGAG